TTTTTATGTATTTATTACTGTTTTCAAGTAATATAAAATGTGTGTCAATAACGGCATGTCGGTTTATAAGGATCTTTTGGCCCAGAAGAAAAAAGAGCGACAACAACAACCGATAACTATGTTCTTCTCTGCAAAAACACACAGCTGCACCGCAGGCTTAAGAAGAAAAAAACGCCACAGAGCGGAGTCATGATGCAGCGGCTCCGTCAAACAGCAGTGAAATACTGTACTGGACACGTCAGTCACTATTTGTCCTACTGTACTTTGCATTTTTTTCCATAATCATTTTTAATTTTCTCCCGTTCCAATCCGTCACGGCGGGGCGGTGCCAATATTAACTCTTCAGTTCGTATTGATGATTAAAATTATTATTTATTTATTTATTTATAACTATATTATTTTACAGTACAGTACAGTAGTTATTTGTAACAAAAAAAAAAAAACAAAAAAAACAACAACAAACGTTTATATAGTACTTTTATTTGTTAAATTAATGCTTGGGCCTGTAACAAGTTTTTGTTCCTTGATTTCAATGTTGTATGGAGTATTTTATTGTATAATAACTGTAAAAAAATAAAGGTTTCTACTTCACGGATTTCGCGGGTTCTTTTTGGAACGTAACCCCCGCGATAAACGAGGGTTCGCTGTACTTCTTTCGCTCTAGAAATATCTGAAAACCAAAATGCATTACAGATTTGTTGTCAGTGGATCAACAGCCAGACCCATTGATTCTTCAGCCGCGTTTAGTTTCTATCCTCCATTAATCTGGAATAAACTGCAAAAGTGCTTAAATGCTGCTTGAAATTAAATGTATTTGTTTACCTTGGTCTTTGACTTTGCTCTTTAAACATTATTGATTCAGTTTCCAGTCTATCATTTCATTTTTCTAATAAGATATTAGTTTATTTTAATAATTTCCCTCTTATTCTCTTTAATTATTTGGTATTGCCACTAAGCCTCTGCAATGTCATTTTTTTATATGATACAACACTTTGAATTGCACTGCCATTAAAATCTGCTATATACAATAAATAAACCTGCCTTGCCTTAATAGCTGTTGAGGTGGTCCAACTGGCCCAAAGTTGCCCAAAGTCACAGATGCTTCCTGTTTTACTTGTATTTATGTCTTTCTAGCCATCCTTGTTTCTTTTAGGCTCACTGATTATCTCTGCTTTAGAGACAGATTTCTATTTTAACCACAAGAATGCTGTTTTATTTCCATCTGGTTTGAACCGCCATGCTTTCTGCCCTTTAATGCTAAAATTCTCAGTGTCCAGAAAAGCTATTATGCTCTTTGACCTGTTGTGTTTTTCTTGTCAGGTGATCCACGTCACAGGGCGTCTGCGAATCAGGATGGCTCTGACGCACAGCCGCTCAGTGCCTAATCAGATCATGGGAATGGTGGTAGTAGCCCATGCCCTCCCTCCACCCACAATTAACGAGGTTCGCATCGACTGCCAAATGTTCGTCACCAGAGTCAACATGGATCTCAAGATTGTCTACTGTGAGAACAGGTAGGGGGACAAATAAAACCCCAAAAAGTTAGAATTTCCCTTAAAAAGAAAGTCTTTCTTGTCACTCGTTTTAGAAAACGAAGCTTCTATAGTATATAAATAAATCACTCAGAGAGAAAAACATTTAGAGCCTCTATCTGTAATTCTGATGGCAGTGGTTTTTAAACCTTTTTTTCTTTTTACAGACGATAATTTAAAGGAAAAGTCCGGTCAGCAAGGAATTATCAATGGATCATCATTTAGACCTAGAATTAATACGTTAGCGCTGATTTCATGAATTTAACTGTAAAGAAATAATCAGTAAAAAAATAAAAACAATAATTTTCATCCTGCACTGAGTCTGGGAGCGGCCATTTTTTCCCAAACATAGTAGCCCCTCCCTCCTGCCATCTTCCAGCAGTGACGTCACGGTGCGGTAAGCCTAGCGCCATTCTCCCCGCTTTCCAAGCTAAATCAATGGGAACTACTAGACACATCTGCAATCAACAACAATTATTGAAGATTTCCAGAGGACTTCACCATTGAAATTCACCAGAGCTATAGTGAAACTGACAATGCCCACGTGCACAGGGGCGGATTTAGGAAATTTAGGGCCGTAGGCAAACACAGGCAGAAAGCCCCCTGAATCGAGATGACAACACATAAAACAGACCCATTTCACTTGACTACTGC